ATTCTACATCGACAAATCAACCCCGCTCTGGTTACCCCTCCAGTGGATCATCCGGTTATCCTTCTAGCGGATCATCCGGTTATCCATCCAGTGGATCGTCTGGTTATCCCTCCAGCGGCTCATCCGGTTATCCCTCCAGCGGCTCATCCGGTTATCCGTCCAGCGGCTCATCTAGTTATCCTTCCAGCGGCTCATCCGGTTATCCATCCAGCGGATCATCCGGTTATCCTTCCAGTGGCGCATCCGGTTATCCATCCAGCGGATCATCCGGTTATCCCTCCAGCAGATCATCCGGTTATCCCTCCAGCGGATCATCCGGCTATCCCTCCAGCGGATCATCCGGTTATCCTTCGAGCGGATCATCCGGCTATCCCTCCAGCGGATCATCCGGTTATCCCTCCAGCGGATCATCAGGTTATCCTTCAAGCGGACTTCCCGGTTACCCATCGAGAGGCAGTTCTGGTTATCCAACAAGATCTGGATATCCAAGCAGTAATAGCGAACAAACTGTTAGACGAACTGACGCTAGTACTGTAAATGCTGCCTATCCAAGCTATCCAAGCTATCCATCAGTATATCCGGAAAGAAATCCATCTCGCAGTAATTATCCGTCTCAAAATGCAGGATATCCTTCTTCAGGGTATCCAGCATATAATAATCAACAACGTCCTCCGTATGCAAATCAAGGTTATCCACAAAATTATCCACAAGGACGTTATCAAGAAGGATATTATCCAGGTCAAAATTATATGACCACCACCAAACGTCCTGGTATTCGAGATCAACTGACGAATTTAGCGCGAAACGTGGCAGAAAGGGTGCTAACGCAAACGATAGTAGATCGTGTCACTGGAAGACATTAATAAAGCTGATAATACTACAATCTTATTTTCTGTAAAATCTGCATAAGGATGTTCCAAAATATAGCACTTTTTTGCCATTAAATTATTGGATAATAGATTGCTATGATTGTAAAATAAATGTATGCCAAATATGTACTCTCTTTCTTTTATTTCTTCAGACCTTAAGTTGAAAACGCTTGTATAATGTTCTAATTTAGAGAAAAAAGAAAAGTACGAAGAATATAGGAAAAATAAAGATCATAATAAGCAACAACAAAGGGCGATGATTTTGCGCCGATAATGAGTATCGATATCTCGCATTCGTGCTTTAAGCTTACGATACGAACACGAACACGTGACCGCGTTAGTGCGCAGGGGCGGCCGATGATGGATGTCGATGTTATGAACGTAGTGTTTCCACGACAAAATTTTCACGTGACAACTCGAAGGAACGCGCGGGAAGTTAACGATATGATGTTGTGAGACGACGATCCTACAAAATCTTGACAAAAGCGCGACAAAAGACTTCTTCGTGAACACCCGTTATCCTGCGTACCGCCGAAATGCCGAGCAAGGAAGAGGAGAACTTTTGCAAGAAAATGGCAAAAGCCACCAGAGGAATACACGCAATCAGCGATGCTCTAGTGAACGCGAAATTGGCATTCGGTAAGAACCACAGAATACCGCGAAGGGTTTTCAAAATGTTATAAATATTGGGGTTCTAATTTGGATGTCGGTATAAATTGTGCATACGTGATTGCACACTGCTAAGACAAAGATTTTTTCACAAGATGACAAAAGTATCATAAACATGAGTTTTATATCTTATTCTAGCTTTTCTGTTTCTATATGTTGGGTGTAAATTTCAGCAATTATTATTTGTTATTTTTTAAAATCTTTGACTTGGCAAATGTGTTGACAGTATATAAATAATAAAAATCTGGTGATTTAACATTAAGTGCTTATATAAATGCTCTAAATATTATATAAATTTGTGTTTACACATGCATTTGTTACAGCGTAGAAATTATTCTTTAGGTTGCATTATTAGGTTGCATATTAATCGTTACACTAGTGCAATGACTATAATTCTAGCTTTGTATTGTAGTTTTATGTACTCCAATTAGGGTTTCTCGATAATTCTGTATGGGGTGATGGGCTTCTGGTTTTCTACGAGATCTTCCGCTACTTAGAGGGTGCAATGATTAGATTAAGAAACACCAAAATTGGATTACTTCCACTCAGTGAGCTTCAACGTACAGAAGCTTTTGAGCGAGATCTTGATCATTACTTGGGGAAAGGGTGGAGAAAGAACTATAGTCCTAGGTATACATTATGTATAATAGAATACATATATAATGTTACAATGAAAGTTCTGCCACTTGTTTTCTTCCACTTATAATACAATAATACAAATGTCAGTCTTTTACAATAGTAATTTGGTAATAATTTAATTATTATAAAAAAATGTTTTCAAATGTAATTTTTCACAAATGTTTTAGGGATAGTGTCACCAAATATCTGATGCGTTTGAGAGAAGTAGAAGATACGGATCCTACTCTACTAATGGCGTACATTTATCATCTTTACATGGGTCTCCTTAGTGGCGGTATTATTCTGCGCAAAAAACGGCAACTCATGCAAAAGATCTCGCTTTTTAAATCACCACCACCGAGTGATGGTAACAATGTTACAGACTTTGGACAAAACAGTATATTTCAATTGAAGAGGGACTTACGCGAATCTATGAATAGAATCGCGGAGACATTGGATGAGGACACGAAAAATAAACTTATCGAAGAAAGTAAAATAGTCTTTGACTTGAATAACGAAATTATCAGAAGTGTGCAGACTGGCAGTCATGTCTTTGAAAAATTACTCTATTTTATCGGTCAAATTGTGTTAATCCTCTGTGTCCTGATAATAGTCCTCAATATTCTCTTCAAATACATTATACGTTAATAGATGTTACTTTGATTAATGCTAATTTAACGTCGATTCGGTAAAAAAAAAAAAAAAGAAAAAGAAAAGAAAGATTATAACAATTTCAGCAAGAAAGTGCTGATATCAAAACCAAAATGTACAATATATTATTTATGCGCTGTAATTGTCTTTCTATAGTTATAAATGGATTACCACCATTATTTGTATGACATGATTTAAGAATAACCTGTTTCTTAAAGTTTATCATATCGAAAATACTAAATTATAAAGATTTGGTTAAAAAGCAACAAAACACAAATTTGAATTCAGCAGGTTATTGAGATTTATTTATACTTGGTATAGGACGAAGAAAAATTTGTGCCCCGTGTACATTAATCAGTTTCAAAGAAAAATTAATTTTCTGTGAAACTGATGCACTATCATCCAGCTCTTAATAGACTGCTAAATTGAAACTTTATTTTGTTTCAAATTTAAAAGTATAAAATACTTTTAAAATCTTATTTACGCGACATACGGCTTCTTTTCTCTGTAATCAGTTTTCATATAACGGTAAATTCAAAGCATATGAATTTCCACTAAATTTATCATCACGTTATAGGATAGAGAGGCTTATGTTCGGATAATATATATATATAGTATGTATATAGTAAGATAAATATATACAAGAGAGATCAAAAATTGAAACAAATTCAAATTTAAATCAATATTAGAAGGATATTGAATAATATAAATGATAATTAGAAATAATAACACGTTTTAAACGTGCAATAACTTTTCGTAATCTGCAGAGATCGAAAGTTCCTGCTCTCCTAGAGATTAATATATCTATACTTCTGGTAATCCATTCTTCCGAATTATTATATACATAATGACTCTAGAGTTTTCAGTATTTCTTGTCTATCAAATTTAAAATTCTTCCAACTCTCTAAATAAAAATCAGCAGCAGAAAGATCTTGATAATCCATGTAATTCTTCGTTAAAAGCGGT